CCACCACCCACAAACACACACAGGCAACTTTTCTTCTCTGTGCTTAGAAACCCTCCCCTATGCTGAGTATGGTGGCACAGGCCTATAATCTTAGCAACTCTGGAGGCTGAGGCAGGAGGATCACAAGTTTGAGGCTTTAGTAACTTAGCAACTTAGCAAGACCCTGTCTCAAAAAAATGAAAAGGGCTGGGGAGTAGCTCAGTGGTAAAGCACCCTTGGGTTCAATCAAAGATTGACACCCAAAAGTCACTCTCCCGTGAAGTTTTCCCCCCTCTGACAGGACTGGTGGCTTTGTCCTGTGTTCCCATCGAGACTGATGAATGAGAACTGTGCCTCCTTTATTCAGACATTCTTCAGCCTCAGTGGATCAAGAGTGGGCCAAATGGCAGGGGTCCTGTTTCAGGTCGTGTGTCTGCCCTGCCAGGCCTTTTCAGGGTATGAATGAATGGAGTCAGTGAACAGGTAGATGACAGATGACATGGGGAGTCCAAGTGACTGGGATTGTGTAGGTGTGAATGCTGCAAATCTTGGTTGGTTGGTGAATTTGGAAAAAGAAAAAAAAGGAAGAACCAAAGGACCTGGTAAAAGGGACGTGTAGGGCCAGAAGGAAGAAGAGCCATGAGATGGCGGCCCACCAACAAAAGTGGAGAAGCCAAAAGGGGAAGCTGGTTTAGGGAGGAGGAGGGGCCTCCTGGTCTGGATATGTGGAGTTGAGGCTGCCTGGGCATTTCCCAGGGGAGGAGATCTAAGTGTCAGTGCAGGTGTCAGACAGACAGAGCCTAGCAAGATGCTGGGCCTGGGGATGGTGATGAGTTGCTGGCAGCCTAGCAGTTAAGAAGGGATGTGTTCTCCAAAGATAGAGCACAGGGGCCTGAGTGGGGGCCTCCACATGTATAGGGGCAGGAGAAAGAAGGGCCAGTCTAAACCAAGGAGTGGTCACAAGTTGCAACTCCATGGCCTAGAGAACTGAGGGTTTTGAGAAAGTCCAGACTGCAGAGGTGAACCTTAGGAGAGGGGGGGCCTCTGCCTCTGGAACAGGCAGTTGGGGGCCTTTAGAGTGGCTGCTTCTCTGGAGAGGAGGCTCAGGAGCCAGACTGAAGCAGGCAGAGTGTGGAGGACACAGAGAGGAAGCCCAGTTCCAGCTCAGGGCATCTGTGAAGGAAAGGGAGGGAGCACTCTGGGGACTTGTGAGTCACTCCCCCTCCAGGGAGAGGACTGAGGGCCTTTGAGGAGTTCGGTGGAGGGGGCATCCTAGTTACTCACTGGAAATTCCAGGCAACTGGAGTGGGGTGGAGCAGAGATGCCTTGGATGTTCAGTGAGTCGCTTCTGTGAGGTTCAAGGTTTGGGGGAAGAATTGGGTGCTGATCCCACCATGCTAGGGGTGTGAGGAATAAAGATAGGTATACTCTAAAAGACTGTTAAGGGCGCCTCATGTTCTCCTGGGTGGAGGAAGGGACATCTAGTGTTCCTTAGAGTTCTAGCTCTTCTCTCATGCCTCCTGCTTGTCTGACCCATGTGAGCAGCTCATGCCAGGCACTGGATCCTGCAGGGTGGAGACAGAAGAACCTGTGGCACAAGGCCCCAAGCTGACACACTTGTACCCTGGGGAATGCCAGGCCTGGTTGTTCCCAAACCCTGGGAACAGCCTTACCCGCCCAAACCAAATGAGGAATTGTGGCTGAAAGGGCCCTTCATATGTGCCCTGGCTATTTATAACCCAGCCAGGGCAGGGACAGGGAAAAACCAGGGACTGGAGGGAGAGGGGGTTGGGGTGAGGGGACAAGTTCCCTGACCAAGGCCTGACAGTCTCTAGGGCCCCAGATAACCCGTCCCATCTCTCTGTATTTGGTAACAAGATGGAGCCTGTGACCAGCAAGAACAGGTTTTCTACTACTGAGAGATTGACAGGAACCCCATTTGAGCTCTGAACTTCTACAGATTTTTTTTTTTTTTTGAAATAGGGATAGAAACCATGCCCATTCTTCTCTTTTTCCTCCTCTCCACCCAGCTTGGTGGCTCAGCAGAGGGCTGTTCTCAGCTAAGGTGCTGAGCAGGGAGGTGAAGCAGAGAGAAGTTGGCACCACCTGAGCTCAGGATGGTGCCCAGTTTGACCTTCCTTTGGAAATGGTCTTGACAGTTTGACTCTTTATCCTGTGGCTGTACAATTGTCACCTGACAGGGAATGTGATATGTGCATGAGAGAGTGGTCATGGACACACGAGGCACTGACAGACAGCCTCAGACTCTGCACTGCCTGGTTGGTGGAAGCTAAGATACAGGTTTACACAGATAAATGGTCTTTTAGTAGTGTGTGAAGCTGAATTTGACTCCAAGATACCCGGTCCAGTGAGGAAATGGGACAAAGGAGACACTCAGGGAAAATTCTCCACACAAGAGTCCTAACTTTTCCTCAAAGAAATAACCCATTGCAAGAATAAAGGCAGCCCTGTAATCGGTGGACCTAATAATTCAGGTCACAGATGCCGTTCACTTAAACTGCATCATGTTTCTTAAAAGATGCAAATTATTTGCAGTCATTTTTTAAAAATATTTTTTATTTTTTAGTTATCGGAGGACATAGCATCTTTGTTTGTATGTGGTGCTGCGACTGGAACCTGGGCCGAACGCATGCCAGCCGAGCCCGCTACTGCTTGAGCCACATCCCCAGCCCTTGCAGTCATTTTTAAATCAGGAGATTTCACCCAAGAATCCATATTTCTCACTTCAACAGAGAAAGGCAATCAGGAGCCTGCTTTACCTTTAGCAGCCATCAGCTGGAGCCAGGGAGGTTTATCTAGCTTGCGCAGCCCTACCTGGTTCCTTCACTGATTACTTCACCTGCACCCTCAGGGGTACTAGTGTTTGTCATCATTGTCCTTGATTTTGTGTGGTGAAAGTCTGTTCCCGGAACTGCCTCTAGACTCCTCCCCCCTGAAAGTAGAGTTGTGTGCATCTCAGGGATCCGGGCTAGGAGACCTACACTGGGGCTTCACCCTTTGGATGAATTTAGTTTCTGAAAGAATGAGAAGCAAGCTGGGAATGGGCAGAGCTGGCAATGCCACCTGTCCTAGGTCTTAGGTGTCCTAGCCTTGTAGAGATTCTTCTGTTGGGGGAGGCCCCTCTTGAGGGGAAACTCCTCCAAGGAAGTGGCGTTGCCAGTCTTGGTAGCACCTGTGAGTGGGTGCTACCCCACTCACAGGTGGAACGTGACATCTGGTTGGTCTGTGGCGCCAGGTGACACGTGCTCAGGACTCTGGTTGACACTCAGCTCTTGTTGGGGGTGAGGCAGGACAGGTGCCCCCCGACAAAGTCTTGTTCATCCAGCCGTGGTAGGGATGGCAACTGTGGTTTCTCACCGGGCCTGGGCCTCCCCTTGGCATAGGTGTTGGAGACTGAGGCCAAGGTGCGTAGGGGGCTCCGGCTCATG